TGGAAGGATGGACTCCTCTTCTGAATGTACCAGCTTGACGCTGCTTAACTCATAGCTGGGAGGAGGGTGGGAAACACTGCAGGTCTACAGGGGAGCAGGAAAGGGGAAGCCAACCTTTAATGCAGGTCACTTGCTTTTTACCAAGAAGAGTTGGGCAGCTCCCATCCACAGTGGAAACCTATGCCTCCCGTCGTCCTCCCTGCTCTGAGTTCAGTGGCGGCAAGCCGGTACATTCAGAAGAGGAGTCCATCCTTTCATTCCTTTCACCTTCTTCTCCCTGCTCCGAGTTCAGCGGTGGCGATAGCAAGCCAGTACATTCAGAAGAGGAGTCCTTCCTTCCAATCCTCCCAGCCTCTTCTCTGCTGTGATTTCAACAGCAGCAGTGACTATTGCGGCGGCAGATGAGTACATATAGAATAGGAGTCCACCTGGCCATTCCTCCCGCCCTCCACAATGTGTTAAGGTATGGGGAAGATTATGCGGTAGAGGGGGCTGTGATATCAGAAGGGGATCTGTGATATGGGCAAGCTGTGATGTGGGGGGCTGTGAAGTGAGAGGAGGGAGCTATGATATGGAGGTGCTGTGAAGTGGGGGGGGGGGGGGGGGATCTCTGATATGGGGGACTGAGAATTGAGAAGCTGTGAAATGAAGGTCTGTGACGTGAGGGGGAGGAGCTGTGAAATGGGGGGCTATGATAAGAGGGAGTTGGGATTTGAAAGGGGCAAGCTATAATACTGGGGGGCTGTGATGTGAGGAGAGCTGTGATATGGGGGGCTGTTATATGGAGATGTTGTATGAGGGAACTGTGATATGGGGGGCTGTAAAGTGAGAGGAGAGAGCTGTGATATGAAAGGTGTGTGATGTCAGGAGAGGGGGAGCTGTGATGTGGGGGATTGTGATTGCAAGGGAGACGGTGATGTCAAGGAAAGACTGATGTGAAAGGGAGTTGTGATGTATGGGGGCTGTGATGGGAAAGGGGGGACTGAGGATATTAATGCAAAGGGGGCTGTAATGTGAAAGACCCGAGTAATAGAAGAAAAATGATTTTCAGACTTCTGCAGAAAGAAAATGTTGCGACCAGACATCCGTGAATTTTAATTCAGTACTCCTGACCTAAAGAGTTTATTTACACTTGGACACCATTTGGTTATTTGATTACATTGATCAATAATTTTTCATCATAGTATTTTTATATATGTAGTTAAGAGTTAGCGTTATTTCATTGATATAGGCCACAGACGTGGCATTGTCACATCTCTCAGAGAAGCTCACTTACAGCTGATTTTCCCGTTTCCTTTCACTTTCAAAATTTCATTTGGACCAAGCTGATCTACACAAACTATTTCCTTCACCAAGTGCTGCAGTGTCTCTAAGCCCTGTATGTACTGCATGTAACTTCAGCTACATACAGTGCTGGGTTCTGGCTGTGAGACAGACTCTCTCGTCTCACACAGGTGAAGAGTTGGTCTGATTGATGCTCAGCCATTCTTAGACTGCTTTGTATTCTGTGAATGAATACAGGTTTTGCTTTGATTGGCTGAAGTGGAGGGACGGGCTGATGACGTCATGCTCTCCGCCTCAGCCAACCAGAGGAAGCTTTGTGTTTATTAACAGAATACAAAGCTGCCTATCAATGGCTGAGCTCCACTAAGACCGACTATGCATTGTTCTGGGTGTAAAACTGGAAGCCTCTGTCTCGCAGCCAGAACCCAGCACTGTGTACTGTACATAAACTTACAGACATTGCAGCACTTAGTGAAGGAAATAGTTTGTTTGGACCATTTTGGTCCAAATGAACTACTTACAGTAAAAGGAAACCTTGAAAGCAGATTTAAAGTGGGTTTAAAGCCAAAATGTTTTTTTTCCTTAATGCATTTCTTGCATTAGGCCTCATGCACACTGGGCATTTTTACAGCTGCTGTTTTGGGTGCCATACTTTTTTTATTTTTTATTTTTTTAACTGCCTCTAAACTCCCCTGCATGTTATCCTATGTGTACATGCACACTTCCTACAGGAAACACAATCACTTTACAGCTGTTATAAGTCCTCTCCCTTCCCCTTCAGTATTGATTGTGTTTCTCCCTACATTGGAACGTTTGCGGTTTTCTGTGACCAAAAGGGGGTCGGATGGTACCCCTGTGAGGAAGGCACAGGAAGGCCCAAACTAACCAGCAGGCTTGCTCCTTCTCACAGGTTGCCCCCACTTGCCACGAGCACTCCGATCACAGGGGAACGTGAACCGCTGCTGTAGTGTGTAAAAACACTGCCTGGCTGCTGTCTCTCTTCCCCACATAATTCCAGCACTCAGTGGATTGCAAAGAAGCAGGAAGCGTGCACTCCAAGCCTAACTCTGTCTCCACAGGATCTTCCGGCCGTGTGACCAGAAATAAGTGGGGCCAGGAACACAGCATGGCCTGTAAAAGCACTGAGAGATGCGGGGGGGGGGGGGGCTATAGAGAGAGATTAGTAGGTAGAACAGAGGAAGCCACAAGTTACCTAGGCCACATTCTAAACCATTTTGCTATAGATGCATGAACAAACTGGCAGAGAAAGAGGCTTCAGGATTGATGAAAGACTTCCTAGCATCTATGCAAGTGAAGATAATAGCCATGATGGAGTCCTTCTGAAACTCGGTGGCACAGCCACAGGGCCCAAGCCTAGAGGAGCAAACCCCTAGAGAAGTCCTGTGCTCAGAGGAAAAGCTTTAGCTCCAGAGGGGGCCCCAGTGTATTCCTCCCGTCTTCCCAGATGCTTCCTCTTGCCCAAGTAAGGGATGAGGAGTGTAAGAGAAAGCTGGAGAGTCGGCCTAAATCACACCACAAATCGGGAGGAGGGGGGATCTAGATCTGGGTAGTGAGGCAGGTGAAAAAGTTAAGCCTGGTAGGCACCTATTTCTGCTGGAAGACTTCGAGGGGCTCCTTCAGGCATTCTACGTGACTGAAGAGATCCCAGAAACCTCCAGAGAGACTTCAGCACAGGATAAAATGTATAGAGGCTTAGTTAAGGCCCATGCTAGGGTGCTCCCCTTCCACCAATCCTTAAAGGATTAATCCTACAGGAATGGAAGGATCCGAAAAGGAGAATGGTCAGACCTAAGACTTTGAAGAAAAGGTTCCCCTTTAAAGAGGATGAGGAAGATACATTCTTTAAGCTCCCTAAGTTGGATAGTGCAATGCTACAGGTTACCAAGACGTCTGACCTCTCCTTTGGTCCATCAAATCATTTATGCTCCCTTTAATCCTCAAAGGTCTGAATCCCTCCTAAGGAAGGTATGGGATGCTAACACATCTGCCCTGGCCCCAGCTCTGGCAGCAACCTGCATTGCCAGGAATACAGACTTCTGGATGGAAAGACTGACCAAACACCTGTCGCAGGGTGCCAAGTCAGATGAGGTGCTAGATTCCCTCTCAGCGATTGGGAAGGCAGTAGTCTAGCTGGTGGATGCCGCGGTCAAATCTGTTAAGGCCTTAGCCAAAACAGCCGCACTTATTAATTCAGCCAGAAGGGGTTAAAGCATGGGAAGGTGACATCACTTCAAAAAGGTAAACTATGTGGCCCCCCCCCCCCTTTGAAGGCTCCCTGCTGTTCAGCCCAGGGTTGGATAAAAAGTTAGTCCTGACTCCATAGTCCTCACAAGAATGGTGGGTAACCCCTAACAATCTGCAGGAAGGCAGGCCCTGGGCCCAGTGGGACTCCATAAAAGGGGTCACAGAAGTGAGCTCATGTGTGGTGGTGCTCACCTGGGGGAAGCCAAAGACCAAAAGGTCCATGGAACAGGGTACTGAAGTTCGTCGCCATTTCACAAGCACAAAACAAATTTAAGGTTTAACATGTTGGATATTTACTCGATGCAACCTCGTCTTTTATATTTTACAAAACAAAAAATTGTAATTTATTGCTTTTTTTGTGCCCTAAAATTAACTTACTGGTATTTTTTACTGAAATTTTTGCAGTAATATCATGCGACATAAAAAATTGGAACTGCCACCATTTTATTATCTAGGGTCTCTGCTTTCAGAAAATATATTATGTTTGGGGGTTTTATGTAATTTTCAGGCCTAAAATGGTTTTTTTGAAGCATGCAAAAACGACTCTGACAGCGAAAGGGATAAAGGATAAGCCCAACACTCCCCTTTCCTGACAAGCAGCCAATCGGTGCTCATTACACTATAAGGTTTCTCCTCTCCCTGCTAGTCCCTGAGTGCGGTACTGGAGACAGGCAGGGAGGGGAGGAGGAGATAAACATGTAGTAATTTACATTGCGCTGTTTAAGTTGCCATAAAGACACTTTTGTGTTAAAAGCCCCAGACAGACAATCTAAAAATCACCTTGGATTTAAATACGGTTTTGGTTAAAATTTTTTTCTTTTTTTTTTTTAATTTGGACAAGTAGATTGTCATGAGGGACAAGTGGATTGGAACACTGATTTGGTCCCTGGACAAGTAGTTTTTTCAAAAATTTCCACACCCCTGCTGACACCAACAATGAGACACCATTTCTCCCACTGACAATAATGATGGGTCACCATTCTTCTCCCCTAGTACCAAAGATGGGGCACTAACTTCCCACTGATACTAATGGGACACTATTCCTCCACCTAAAAAGGGACAGCATCACTCCCACCGATACCGGGACATTTCTACTCCCGCTGGCCACATTCCGGCCCCCTTAACCACTTGAGCACCTGAGGATTTACCCCCCTTAATGACCAGGCCTCTTTTTGCTACTCGGCGCTGCACTAATTCAACTGATAATTGCGCGGTCATGCAATGCTGCACCCAAACAAAATTTACGTCCTTTCTTTCACACAAATAGAGCTTTCTTTCGGTGTAATTTGATCACCTGTGCGCTTTTTATTTTTCACGCTATAAACAAAAAAAGGCCAAAAATTTTGAAGAAAAACAATATTTTTTACTTTCAGCTATAAAAAATATATAGTAAACTCAAAGTTAGTTATAAATTTAGGCCAAAATGTATTCTGCTACAGGTTTTTGGTAAAAAAAATTCCAATAAGTGTATATTGATTGCTTTGTGTGAAAGTTATAGCGTCTACAAACTATGGTATAAATACTGCAATTTACGCCATTTTTCTGCTATACAGCGCTGTGCTAGTTTAACGGACAATTGCGCGCGGTCATGCAATACGGTACATAAATGAAATTTACATCCTTTTTTTCCCCACAAATTGAGCTTTCTTTCGGTGGTATTTGATCGACTGTGCGGTTTTTATTTTTTGCGCTATAAAAAAAAAGGCTGACAATTTTGGAGGAAAAAAAACAATATTTTGGACTTTTTGCTATAAAACATGTCCAGTAAAAAAAAATGCAAAAAAAAATCTAAATTTAGTCATAAATTTCTGCCAAAATGCAATCTGCGACATGTCTTTGCTAAAAAAAAATCCCAATACATGTAAATTAATTGGTTTACGTGAAAGTTATAGCGTTTACAAATGGCTGACACCCGCGGGACAGGTAGGGCGGGCGCGCGCCCCCTACCTGTTTTGAAGGCAGCCGTTTTAAAACGTGCTTTTGCCTACGAGCGCCGCCCTGCCACTGTTTATATGCGGTGGCTGGGCAGCAAGTGGTTAAAGTATTTCATAGTGAATAGCCAATTGTGTGTCTTTTTGTCTTTTCTGTAACTTTTTTCCTTGTAGATATGTAATGCACTGCTCACTTTCGGGTTATAATATCATAAAATTAACCACAAGGGGACAGACGGCAGTACATATACAAGGCGGCCCCTGTGAGCAGGATCACGTAGTATATTTCGTGATCGCGGCCGCGGGTGTCGGTCACCAGGTCCTGGCCAGTGACTACCCGCTGGAGCTCGGCGATTGCGTGCAAACATGGACGGGGAGGAAGGCTGCACTGTTTTCAATGGCACTCTCCTCCCTGTCAGTTTGAGCCATTTGATCAGGATTGCTGAGCTCAGCTTTCCAGATCAGTGTGCTTACAGTGAAGCACCCCCCCCCCCCCCCCCCTAGTAAAACACTCCCCTCACACACAACCCTTTGATTACCTTCAAATATTAACCCCTTCCTCCCCAGTGCCATTAGTACAGTGTCAGTGCTTTATTTTTTGCACTGATCACTGTACTGTTGTCACTGGGGAGGTCAGTGACCCCAAGTCCCCCCCCTCCCCCCCCCCCACCCCCCCCCCCCCCTCCCCCCCCCCCCCCCCCCCCCCCCCCCCCCCCCCCCCCCCCCCCCCCCACCCCCCCCCCCCCCCCCCTCCCCCCCCCCCCCCCCCCCCCCCCCCCCCCCCCCCCCCCCCCCCCCCCCCCCCCCCCCCCCCCCCCCCCCCCCCCCCCGAGTGCCAGAATGTCCACCGCAGACCCGCTATAAGTCGCTGATTGCTGATATTCGTTTAAAAAAAAAAATCCATCATCTATATTGTGATTTGTAAACGCTATAACTTTCACGTAAATCAATTAACCATTAGCCGCCCGGCCAATGGCCGTTTGGCGGCTTCAGAAGTGTCTCTCCGTTCCGGGTACACGCCATTTGGCGTGCTCCCGCACATGCGCCGTTTGCGCTAGTGCAGAGCGGCGCAGCAGTGCGATCTGTCATCGGCCGTGCACCTCGGACACGGCCGATGACAGATCCGAGTACCGCCTCCCGTTACTGGTACCATGTGACCTGCTGTGACCAATCACAGCAGGTCACATGACAGTTGTATACAATGGATGGCTTCATTCATGATGCCATCCATTGTATACTAGTGCCTAGCTGTGAATGGTCACAGCTAATCACATGCACATGTCATGTGATTAGCTGTGACCAAATCACAGCTAAGCACAAAAAAAAAAAAAAAAAAAAAAAAAGCTGAATGAATCGATTTCATTCAGGTAAATGCTTGCTTATAGCAAAGTAATTCTTTGCTATAAGCAAATTGTGTAAAAAAAAAAAAAAAAATACTGATCACTTCCCCAAAGTAGTACAATGTTACTATGGTAACATTGTACTATTTTGGTCGAAGTAAAATATGAAAAATCTTAAAAAAAATAAAAAAAAGTAATAAAAAATTAAATATAATAAAAAAAAAAAAAAAATATATAATATATATTTTTTTTTTTCATACTGTCACCAGTCAGTGTCCCTGTTCACCGCCATGCCAGTTATATGATGACGCTGTACTGTACTGGTGACAGTATGTAAAAAAAAAAAATAGTGAAAATAATTTTTTTCATTTTCCGAAAAATGACAAAAAAATACAACTTCAAAAAACTCGCCATGCCTCTTATGAAGTACGTCGGACTGTCTACTCTGCAAAAAGGGGTCATTTGGGGATATCTGTACTATTTTGACATTCTTGGACCTCAAGAAATTAGATTGGCTGTCAGTACTTCAGGATTGATCAATTTTCAGATCTATACCATAGTTTGTGAACTCTATAACTTTCCTAAAAACTAAAAAATACATCCTAATTTGGGTTATTTTCACCAAAGACATGTAGCAGAATACATCTCGGCCTAAATTTATTTAGAACAATTATTTATTTGTAAACTTTTATAACAGAAACAAAGAAAAATGTGGTTTTTTTTCAAAATTTTTGGTCTTTTTTTTGTTAATTTAGCAAAAAATAAAAACCCCAGTGGTGATTAAATACCACCAAAAGAAAGCTCTAGTTGTGTGAAGAAAATGATAAAATTTTAGTTTGGGTACAGTGTTGTATGACCGCGCAATTGTCATTCAAACTGTGAGAGCGCTGAAACCTGAAAAATGGCCTGGGCAGGAAGGTGTAAAATTGCACGGTATTGAAACGGTTAATTTACATGTATTGGGATTTTTTTTTTTTTTTTTTTTTTTTTTTTTAGCAAAGACATGTCGCAGAATATATTTTGGCCTAAATTTATGACAAACATATTGTAAAATTTTTTTACTGGACATTTAGCAAAAAGTCCAAAAATATATATTTTTTTTATAAAAATTGTTGCTCATTAATTTTTATAGCGCAAAAAATAAAAAACGCACAAGCGATCAAATACCACTGAAAGAAAGCTCAATTCGTGGGGCAAAAAAAAAAGGACGTAAATTTCATTTGGGTGCAGCATTGCATGATTGCGCAATTGTCAGTTAAAAGTAACGCAGCGCCACAACACAAACCGCTTATGTAACAGCTTCCTGACCGCCCTATAGCAGAAATACTGCTACAGGGCGGTACGGGTGCGCAAAATCACACACACACACACACACACACACACACACACACACACACACACATATATATATATATATACACATATATATACAGTTGCAAGAAAAAGTATGTGAACCCCCTGGGATTACGTGGAGTTTTGCATGAATTGGGCATAAAATGTGCTCTGAACGTCATCTAAGTCACAACAATAGAAGAACACAGTCTACTGAACATAATACTACACAAACATTAGATGTTGCCATGGTTTAATTGCACATAACATGTAAACATTCACAGTGCAGGGAGGAAAAAGTATGTGAGGCCCTAGCTTAATGACTTCTCCTAGAGCTAATTGGAGCCAGGAGTGAGCCAACCTTGACTCCAATCAGTGTGATGATATTGGATGTGTTGCTGACAGCTGTCCTGCCCTTAAAAAACACACACCTGTTTTGGGTTTACTGGTTTCAAGAAGCACTGTCTGATGTGAACAATGCCTCGCAGAAAAGAGCTCTCAGAAGACCTACGATCAAGAATTGTTGACTTGCATGAAGCTGGAAAGGGTTACACAAGTATCTCCAAAAGCCTTGATGTTCATGTGTTCACGGTAAGACAGACTGTCTACAAATGGAGAAAGTTTAGCACTGTTGCTACTCTCCCTAGGCGTGGTCGTCCTTTAAAAATGACTGCAAGAGCACAGCGCAGAATGCTGCATGAGGTAAAGAAGAATTCCCAGAGTGTCAGCTAAAGACCTACAGAAATCTCTGGCACATGCTAACATTTTTGTTGACACATCTACAATAAGGAAAACATTAAACAAGAATGGAGTACATGGGAGGACACCACGGAGGAAGCATGCATGTTTGAAGTTTGCAAAAGAGCACCTGGATGTTCCACAGCACTACTGGCAAAATATACTGTGGACAGATGAAACCAAGATTGAGTTGTTTGGGAAGCACACACAACACTATGTGTGGAGAAAAAAAGGCCCAGCACACCAACATCAAAACCTCATCCCCACTGTAAAACATGGCGGAGGGAGCATCATGGTTTGGGGCTGCTTTGCTGCCTCAGGGCCTGGACGGATTGTTGTCATTGATGGGAAAATGAATTCCAGAGTTTATCAAGACATTTTGCAGGAAAACGTACGACCATCTGTCCGCCAACTGAAGCTCCACAGAGGATGGGTGATGCAACAGGACAATGACCCAAAGCATACAAGTAATTCAACAAAACAATGGCTGCAACAGCACAGAATACGCCTTCTGGAGTGGCCCAGTCAGAGTCCTGACCTCAACCCGATTGAAATGCTGTGGCATACCTTAAGAGAGCGATTCACACCAGACATCCCAAGAATATTGCTACACTGAAACAGTTTTGTGAAGAGGAGTGGTCCAAAATTACTCCAGATCGTTGTGCAGGTCTGATCTGCATCTACAGGAAACGTTTGGTTGAGGTTATTGCTGCCAAAAGGAGGGTCAACCAGTTATTAAGTCCAAAGGTTCACATACTTTTTCCTCCCTGCACTGTGAATGTTTACATGTTATGTGCAATTAAACCATGGCAACATCTAATGTTTGTGTAGTATTATGTTCAGCAGACTGTGTTCTTCTATTGTTGTGACTTCGATGACGTTCAGAGCACATTTTATGCCCAATTCATGCAAAACTCCACGTAATCCCAAGGGGTTCACATACTTTTTCTTGCAACTGTATATACACACACACACACACACACACACACGTGATTCGCGCTCCCATGGTTTTCATGCCCCTCCCAGATAGCGTCATATTGCCCGTCACTTCACCAGTAATCACATTTAACCCCTTGATTGCCAGGAACACGCTCATACACAAACCTCCATTGCTACTATAGTGTCTGAACGGATCAATATCTTTGATCAGATCAGCACTATACCAACGTTCACATTAGTATAGTGTCCCCAAAAACGCAGTGTTAACGGGATCAGGCCTGGCACCTGCGTTTTTACTCCTACGCTTACCCCCCCCCCTTCTCCCCCAGAAAGTGCAGTGTCAGTAGGTCACTGTCATTTGATACATTGCATACAAAACTGCAGTGTTTGCAGAATCAGGCCTGATCTCTGTTAGCACTTGCCAGTAAATTTTGATGACTCTCATATGCAGTAGAGTGCCAGTACTAGTGCCATGCTACCTTTTGGTGAACTGGTGAGCACCAACTGCCTAGTACATCCTGGTCTTTCACATACCAGCACTGCAGTATCACATGGTGACTTGGCAAGTCCCATAAGTGCAATATAAGCTGGTGCGGTGGCTAGCATAAGTATTGTCCCGCAACCACCAAGAATTCGCACACAGGCCCGTAGAGTCCCTAGTACCCTTCTGGATGTGCTTGCAAATCCCAATTGGCAGCCCACAAATTCTGCAGCACCTGTACTTCCCCCATTCGCTACCCAACCCGGAATTCAGGTGGAAACAGCAAATTTAACTACTCCCCTTGATTTTTTTGGAGCGGTTTTTCACGGGAGAGCTGTATGCATGGATTGTGGATCAAAGCAATTTATATGCACAACAAGTTATCGCCGCAACCCAAATTCAAACCTTGCCAGACCATTCACATGGAAACTCATTATGGTTTCCGAATTTACATTTTATTTGGACCTTACCCTCAACATGGGCATTACTAAAAAAAAAAATGAATTGCGGTTGTATCGGTCCACAGACCCGATTCATCATATGCCCGTGTTCTATGCTGCCATGGCCAGGCATAGATATTAGAGTATAATGTATTTTATGCATTTGAACGACAATATACTCTGTCATCCTCGAGGTGACCCTGAATTTGATCGGCTCCACAAAATTCAGCCCCTTGTAAATCACCTTAACCAAGTTTGCAGATGTCTATACTCCCCAGCAAAAAAATGCATTGAGTCCCTCATTAATTTTTCTGGCCGCCTTGCATTCAAACTATTTCTCTCTCCAGCAAGCATGCCAGATATGGGGTCAAGATGTAGAAGACCTGTGAGAGGACAAAAGGCTATACTTATAAGTTTTGGATTTACAAGGGAAAACATAGTCACATGGAGCCCCCCACATGCCCAGACTATATGGGGAGCAGTGGCAAGATAGTTTGGGACTTGGTGTCATCCTTTTTCCATATGGGGTACCACTTATACGTCGACAATTTTTATTCAAGTGTGCCACTATTTAAACATTTGTACAATCTTGGAACTGGCACATGTGGCACCGTGCAACCTAATGTGTGCCCACCATTACAAGTGGGTGGAGGCAGGGCGATATATTCTACTGGTGGGCATACCAGACACTTTTTCTAGCAGAGATGTCTTCTCTTTCATTCAGCCAACAGGCTGCATACAATAAAAAAAAAAAAAAAAAAAAAAAAAAGGAAGGAAGAAGAACGTAGCATATATACCCAACAAGGACCGGCGACGTACTGGTACATCACTGGACTTTGAATGGTTATACCAGGATGATGCCTACAGCTTCAGGCATCATACATGTATAATTTTTTTCAGCTGGCGATCGGCTTTCAAGTAAAAGCAATCCTAATTATCTGCAGGATTACTTTTACAAGCAGCAGGAGATGATGCCCCCCCTCCACCGCTGCCTTCCACGGCCTTCTTGGGCAGTCCCGTGCCATCAGGGAAACCTGAGAATGCAGCCGGTATTTCTGCCAATTGACCATAGAGCGGATTGGAGACCAGATTGGTGCCAATCATCTCGATAGCCTAAAAAAAAAAAAAAAAAAACGGGAGCTACGAGCATTTCATCACTTCAGTTTTGCAGGATATAAACAGCGCCATTTGTGAATTGGGAAAGCATCTGATCACATCTTGGTTTGATTAGATACTGTAAGGGCAGAGGAGATATCGAGAGTCTGATAGACCCCAGATTTCTCAAAAAAGAATATATGACAATGCTCATTGACGTTATAGGGGCTATTTGCATTCCCTGTGATAGCATTAAAAGTGATAAAAAAAATGAAAAAGGGATAGTGTAGAAATAGTAAAAAAATTTAAATATTAAAAAAAAAAAAAAAATCACCCTCGCCCACCCCAGCACCTGTGTGCGTGAGCGCTGACCTTGTGCTGGTATGTAAACAGCGGTTGCACCATGCATGTGATGTATCGCCGTAAACGTCAGATCGAGGGCAGTAATTCTAACACTAGACCTCCTGTTTTAAAACAAGGGCTTTTAAAACGTTGCCTATGGATATTTAAAACAGATGCAGTTTGTCACCATTGCACGGGGCATGCACTGTTTTAAAGCATTTCATGTTTGGTATCCATTTATTCAGCATACCATCATCTTTTATATTTTACCACATAATTGGCTAATGTGTTATTGTACATTAAAAGTAAAAAAACGGACAGAGTGCGCATGCACGGGCGGCCAGCACACATGTCCCGGCCATAGCTCCGCACACTCCCGGAACTGTACAAGCCCATACACGTGCATCAAGTCTCTCTTCGATCCCGGGACTCGCCCCGGTCCTAGACCAGATCCCCGGGGCACCCTCATAATGCCGGGACGGCTCCCGGCACCCGATCCCTGCGGCGCGCAGCTCGGCTTCCACGGCTTTTGTCACCTCATCTGCAAAGCCAAGCACC